GGAACAATACAAGTTTCCCTTGTCTTAGCAAGAAGTAGAGTGGCTCCTTTGAAATATGTATCTATCCCTCGTATGGAGTTGACTGCAGCAGTTATGGCAGCCCGTCTCACAGATTCTATATTACGTGAGTTGAATATCATGGAAGTTTGTTACTGGACAGACAGCCAGACTGTTCTTAAGTATTTACAGAGTGATACCAGAAGATTTAAAATGTTCGTAGCTAATCGTGTTTCTACTTTATTGGACTTGACCAAAGTTTCACAATGGAGATACGTCAGAACGGCTGACAACCCAGCCGATGAAGCCTCTAGAGGCCAAGGTATTGATGATTTCTTGCGAAATAAGCGATGGATCAATGGGCCTGATTTTCTTGATCAACATGTTGAGCAGCACATAAACCCACAGGAATGTTTGGTTGAAATTGATGAGAATGACCCAGAAGTCAGGAAGGTTTCCAATGTGGTTGTAACCAAAAACCAGTGCTGTTTCCTAGACGGATTGATCTCCAGATGCTCAAGCTTCATGAAGCTGAGGAATGTAGTGGGTCTAGTTTTAAAGTTTGTCAGAAGAGCAAGAAAGAATCAATCAAAGAGCAATGATGTTGATCAATTGGAGGCCGCAGAGAGGTTCATTATAGTTCATGAACAACAGAAACATTTTGCGGCGGAGTTAACTGCCTTGAAGAATGGGGAGAAGAAATCGATAACGGCGGTAATGAAAGCTAGTCCCTTGCGTAAGCTGGACCCTATGCTGGTAGATGGAGTTATCGTAGTTGGGGGAAGACTGAGAAGAGCAGCCCTCCCAGATAGAATGAAGCATCAGATAATAATCCCCAAGAGATCTGAAATTGCTCCATTAATTGCCCTTCAAGCCCATAAAAATGTCGGACACATGGGTCGAGCCGCTATGTTAATGTACATGTGGGAGAAACACTGGATTATGGGGGCTGGTGCATTAATAAAAGGTGTTATCAGTAAATGCGTCATCTGCCGAAAGTACCGTGCCAAGTCTGCAGAACAAAAGATGGCCGCATTGCCAAGTGAGCGTGTGCTCAGCGACAATCCTGTCTTTTATAACACCGGGCTGGACATGTTTGGGCCATTTCAGGTCAAGCAAGATAGAAGTCAAGTAAAAAGATATGGACTTCTGTTCACATGTTTAGCAACAAGGGCTATACACCTAGAAATTGTGCACACAGCCAATGCAGACTCCTGCCTGAATGCGATACGGAGATTTGTATGCAGGAGAGGGTTAATTTCCTCCATCAGAACTGATAACGGAACGAATTTTGTGGCTGCAAGCAATGAGTTAAGCAAAGCCGTGGAAACATGGAACAGAAGTCAAATCCCTCAATGGCTGGCTCAACATGGAATTCGATGGGAGTTCGACCCACCCGGTGCTACCCACTTCGGTGGCGTATGGGAGCGCCTAATTAGAGTTGTCCGCCAGGTTATGAATGGAGTTCTAAAAGAACAGCATCTTCGACTTGATGATGAGGGTCTTTGTACCTTGTTTTGTGAGGTAGATGTACCGTACTGTGTAATCTATGTTAATTGTAAGTAAGGTACGGCTATCTCACGACCACAATCAAAAACAGCATTATATTTGGATTTGTGCTTCGTGAATAAATAAAGTTTTGCTAGTGCTCTAGTTGTCATTGTAATGAGTTATCTATATTGAAAAGCAGAAAGCTATTTACATTGATCTTCATACTTAAATTTTAAGATTTAATGTTGACATTGTATGTAAATTAGTTTCAGATGTTATGTTTAATTTCCGAGTGTTTCAGGAATTATTATATTAGTGTAATTGATCCTCAATTAAGGGGCCGGTGTAATGAGTTATCTATAGTATAAATCTCTTAACTAATGAGGGCGCACTTGCTATGAAGAAGCAAAGTCATGGCGGTACTTGTTGATTAGTTCGAATTACAGAAGTGAAGAAACCTGGTTTGATTTATGTAAAAACGTTGCCCTATAAGGCGGGGATAAGTTATTAGAAGCCACAAATCTTCGGTAAGCTATCAGTTCTGTTGTTAATAATATGTAGGCTTGCATAGCTAATAATTGTGATGTGTTAGTACTACTAGCCTAGGGACTGTATACTGACTGAGAGATGTGTGCACGCCGAGAGCCGTGCACGTCGTGCCAGCGCTGTGCTGGTGGTGCTAGTTACGTATAATATACACAGATTGTTGACTCTTTAGAATACAGTATCTTATTATTCTACTGTTAATATGTTGCATTCATAAAAGTGTTGCATTCATATCTTAAAGTGCTGTTAGATTTAGAGTTAACTAAAGTTGGCTATGACTCTTGGAATTTCGTCGCTCGCTACTTCATCGCATAGCGAGATGCGGCCAGTCAGTTGTACTCTCTGGTTGTCATGGTAATCATGAATATTCATGGCATTATTCATGGATTATTCTATCATTGGGAATATGGATAATTTAGTGTGAAAGGAAAGCTAGAGTAGATTAATTAACCATTTTCTCTAGGGTACTGATTATTTCTTTATTTAAATAATGATAATTGTGATTCAATGTTTAATCATGTTTACTATGTTGATTACATAATTCTATTCACATGAAGGTGAATTTTTGTTTTATGTTTCAGTAAATCGCTTTGTCAATCGCTTTGTCAATAGTTCTGATATTGATAGTCGACATTAAAGACAATTCATTGACTGATTACGTTGGTGGCAGTGTTGTTTCATTTCCCGTCCTTATAGTCATCATTGGTGTTATGGTGGAACTGAAATCAAAACTGAACGTCTGTGTTCGTAGCTGTCGTCGTCGTCATCATCATTCTCGTTAGCTGAATCAATGTCATTAAAGAATTGAGAGAAATCATCATCATAATTCTTATTAGCAGAATCAATTAATGGAAGCATTAAAACAATAAACAGAAACATTTTTACATTACAGATCAAGCCTGTGTTTATTCAATAATCATCGTTTTACTATTTGGGTGGGCATAAAAGTATTTTTAATGTATTTGTTTCTTAAACATTTCAACATACAGCAGGGGCTGATCAAGAATTTTTCAAATGTGAAAATTCAGTGAAAATTTGGTTGAAATCGGCTCAGTAACAAAGGAGAACATCCCGGACACACAAACCCCAATTTGCCATTTATAGATTATAGCCTTCATATAGATGCACCACTCCTATGTGTTTCATCGATGTAAAGGTGTAATTTCCAAAATAAATAATTATAAATAATGTTAGATGCAGTTCAGTAGATATTAGACGTTATACGTACAGTAAATTGGTGGCGCTATACAACTAATTGGTTTACGATGGTCATGATGCTAACACGTGGTGTTTTGACACAATTTTACCGCGAGTGGTACAACTGTGTCATAATTACAACGCATAGTACGCGTACTACGTGTAGTACGTGTAGTACGTGTAGTACGCGTACTACACGTAGTAATTATGACACAGTTGAACTGCCATACGTTTCTATTCATTTCGTACCACGTTTCTCTGTCTAGCTGATAAGTCAGGCCTTGCTTGAATGGTTATCAGCAGAGGGGTGTAGGGTATTATATTGAATAGCTGACCAAAACCTTACCAAAAACAATGATTAATATCATATCTTCGTAAGTACTTGGCCAATTTTAACGGGAAAAGTGTGAAAATATTCAAAATCATGAAATAAAACATTATTCGTAGCCCAGTATATAATTTATGGCATAACATTATAAAATAAATGTACATCAGTCAAGGATTGTTTATGTGTAGGTGTGAAAACCTAAGAGATTAATCACCAGATAAAGGCTAATCCTTTTTTCCATTTAGCCATGGATCTCGACCTGCAATGTTTTTTTTGGCAGACCTATTCATTTCGGGCTGCCGTATTTGGAAGTTTTCAATACCTAGTCAAAAATGTCCTTAATGTTTGTGTTACGATCTTGGAACAATCAGGATAGATGAAGCATGACTTCTCACTTGAACTGATTATTCTTTCGATAATCCACTGTCGAAAACCTTTAACAAAAGAAAATACAATAGAATTAGAAAAAACGATCGTAGCATACTTGCTCATTACTTGATAATATGATTGATTAATTTAATGAGACGATAATGTTTGTGTTTGTCTGTATAAAAGCAATTTCACTCAGTTAATCCTCTGGTAACAATCAAATCCGGTTTTATTTATATGAGGGAAAAAAGCAAGTAGGCTAGTATACTTCCCTTCCATTATACGAACATGTCTAAATGATATAGTACACACCTTTGAGATAATAAGGCTTAAGTGGGCACGAATACCGACATTAAGTATTTCACACCTTTAATCGCGTTAGATTGGTTGCCAACCA